GGCAAAGTCCACATAACCTTAGAGGAGTATAAAACTCGTGTGTGTGTGTGTGTGTGTGTGTGTGTGTGTGTGTGTGTGTGTGTGTGTGTGACATGCATGTCTATATATGCCAGAGGTCAACTCCAGATGCCATTTACTTTGGTTTTGGAGACAGGGTTTCTCCCTGGTTTGGAACTTGCCAAGCAAGCTAAGCTGGCTGGCCAGTGAGCCCGAAGGAGCCAGCTGTTTGTACCAGCTATGGGATTACAAGTGCACACCACCATGCCCCAGCTTTTTTACATGGATTCTAGGAAGGAACACAGGTCTTCACACTTGCACGACACAACCCTTTTCCAACTAAGCTAAAGCCTCAGACAAAACCAACCAACCAAACAACTCCCACCCCACCCGCCCCCAAAACAAAACAAAACCCAGTGCTAGGGGTCAAACACCCAGCTTCCAGCACACTAAGCATGCGCTCCACCACTGAGCTACGTCCAGTCCTTCTAGTCAGTTTGAAGTTTGTCTCCAATCAACTCTTCATGCTTCCTCACATCTTGCCATGAAGGGCAGGCAGAAACCAAAGAGACACAGGTCCAGGCTGGGGAACTTGCAAACTGTTAGCCCTGCAGCCTCGGGTGGACACCTGGTTTCTTTTTATGGCTGTGCACATGCTTACATGGTGGTGATATCAGTTTACCTTCTGCTGTAGTATCTCAGTGCTGGGGTAACAGCCACTGTCCAACAACACCAGTGTCCTATGCCAAAGGCTTTGTGCCTTCTAGGGCCTCTGCTGCTCTAACACCCTTGTTCGAGAGCCCTTGTTCAGCAGGGAGAGGATGTTACAAAGGAAGGCCTGGGGGTCGAGTCCCAGTTTCATCATTCACTAGCTGTATGGTCTTGGGGGAGTTTCTTTGCCTCTCCAAGCCTTGGTTGAATTCATATCTAAAACAGAAGCAGTAGAACCTCTGCTGAGGCCCCTGGAAGGGTTCGGGGGATAATTATAAAATTGCCTGTAGTAGATGCTGAGTAAAGGCAGCCATCATCACTTTTGTGAGCAGCTGTCCTTTACACATCTGTGAACACCCGAGGCCTATGCTGGATGCTGGGACACCACGGTAAATGAGTCACGACACCTGGAGGCTATGATTGGACCTGACAACTGGGAAGTGCAATCTAAAGCATGGGACATCTTTTTCCTGGTAAGGAAAGTGTGTGGGGGCAATGGAAAGAACATGGGTGGGTGGGGCTTACTCCAGCCAAACTCCCTCATCCCGAGGCCCCTAAGTGTCTTTTCAGTTGAAAGGGCTGCATGATAATGTTCAATGGGAGCACACCATCAGTATCTGGTACTTTCTGGTGGGCAAGAATTGTCAGTCATGCCAAGCCCAATATGGCACTTAATGGCTTCTGGGTATTCCTTCTCTCAAAATAAACCATGCATAGATAGAGATTTGACACCTCAAGTCACTCAATCTGTCACCACAGCCCACTTAAATCTCAAAAGAAGGGTTTTAGCAAACTGCAGGGGACAGAGATGGAGGGGTGGGGGAAGATATAGGCATGCACATATGGCCAAATGCAACGCTTCTTTTGGTGTAAGAATGTTCTGGTAGAGCAAGAGGGGTAGGTTTGATAGAGGTACTGTGAGGATCCAGAGAGGGGAGCCTTGGGCAGCCTGGTACTGGATACTGCAGGGCATGTTCCCTGAAGACCTGACCCGGAGGAGAACCCAGAATCAGCCAGGTGCCAGGTATGTGAAACCGCTTCTTTTGGAAGCTCTGCCCCTCACCCCAGCCCAGCCACAGCTGCTCCCCTCCTCTGAAGACATCACATGACATCTTAGCCTAAGCCCTTCTTCAGCAGCCCCCGCGGAGGGGCTATTTGCAGAGGACACCCACTTGGAGTTTAGAGCTGCCCACACAAGTGTGTGGTTGGAAAAGGAGAGGATGAGAAGCCCATGGCAGGTGTCTCCACTCTGCTGCAGCCCCACCCACCCTCCGCAGGCTCCAAGGTCTTTGTGTGGCATGTCTGAGTGCCAGCATCACCCTCACATCTGCTGTCCCATGACAAAGGGCTTTGAAGCTCCATAATGACGCCATCTGCCGGGAGCCAGCTGGCTCATGAGCTGACCCTTCAGTTGCCATGGCAACCAAGATGGCAGCCTTGGGCTCTCAGAAAACAAACCAAGCTAATGTCCGGAGGTTCCATGGAGCAGTGTGGTTAGCAAGCCTGGGGATTCATGGGGTCTTACCCCAGCAGAGGTGGACCCGACCAAGATGGCTGACAAGCTGGGGGCTGAAGGGAGAAGAACAAGGGAGGAGTCATGTTGGGTTATGATGATCGCTGTTCCCGTGGCTTTGTGGAAATTCCAGTTCTTGGAATGTCAATGGTTCACCTTGTCCAAACAGGGAGTCCATCCCAAGGAGAGGGCTTCTTGGCTTTCAAAAGGCCACTGGACTGATGTCTTTGCACACACAAGGCCCTTTCCAAGGCAGCCTTCTCTCCTTCATGCCAGGACCTTGCTGAACAAGTGTGAGGGCCTCCTCTCTGCCACTGTGGAACCCAGGAGCAGGGCTCTCGTGGCACAGCACTGGGTTTTGACATGAATGTTCCACACCACTGGGAGGCTCCTGGAGGCCCAGGCTCACTCAGGCCTGGTATAGCAAAATCTAGCAAACAGTAAGGGAGTAACCAAAGCCGCTTCATCTCTCAGCCACTTGCCAAGGGATTTTTGATGCTCAGGGGCTCAGCTGCTTCCCATGAACAAATGGGAACTGGGGGTTGGGGACCATGGCGGGACCTTCTTGGCCTAGCAGTGCAGTGTGTCAATGGCACCATTGGCAGCAGAACCTCCAGGGCCTCTGAGGCGCAGGCCACACCTGCCTGGAAGCATGGAGGACTTCTGCTTCTATCTAAGTGTCTGGCTTATTCTGGGTATGCAGTGGGACCCACATGCACTTAGCATGTGCTCACCTGCGGCATCTTGGGTAAAAGCATTTGTTCACAAACCCCTTGACTCGGAGGTGACAAGTTTTATAAATCTCCTCCTATATGTGGGTCCCTAGTTTTACCTCCTCTCCATCTTTGTGGTGAGTGGCAGACTTTGAATATTACCGGGCAGGGAGGACTGGACGGCTCTTAACATCTTGAGTCTCGTTTTTTTCAAGTTCAAGTGAAAGGAGCAGGGTTCACTGGTCTGCTTGGGGCAGAGTGGTCCTCAGCCCTGGCCTAGCTCCTCTGGCCACTTGCTGCCCGGGAGGTCTTTCTATACAGATGTTGATGACCGTTCCTCCGCACACATGTGGCAAGCCCTTTCCAGCTTGCGTGTGGTGCTTCAGCTCTAGGTAGGAGCTATAGGAGCTGTTTGTTCAAGGGAAGCTGTGGATTCCTGTGCGCTCACAGAACAGCAAAAAGCTGTTCTGAGGCTTATCCAAGCCTCAGGCTTGTGACACACGTTGTATCCACCTGCTCTTTTTATCTGCAGAGTTTTCCCTTCCTTCCATGATGCTCTCTGAGCCTCAGAGGCCCGGGAGGTAGCAAGAACAAAGACCATTATTCTTATGTTGCTCGTTAGAAGCAATGGCCTTGCCACAGATACCTCCCTGACCATGTGCCTTGCAGCGCCCACTGGCCCTCTCCCAGTAACTAGCCTTGATTTTGCTCTTGAGGAATGCCATCCCTCACAACCTTTGGTTCCAGAGAGGGCAAGAGACCTAGCCCAGGGCAAGCAGAGAATTCTGTTCTCTAAGCAAAGACAGAAGGATATCATGGTACCTCAGCTGAGACAAGAAGAGCTCGGTCCTTTCCAGGGTTTGGCATGGAGTTACTGAGATCTAGAGAGCTTCTGTTGGTAAATTCTGTCCGAGAACAAAGCCAGGATAGAGAGAGATGTAAAGACTGAAAGATGGAGAGAGATACTTCTCACCAAGTACGTGACTAGATACAGCCAGGCCTAAAGCCACCGACACACCACTCAGGCCAGCTGCATAGATCCTGTCTGTTCCTGACCCTGCCACAGCAGGAAACGAACCAGCCAGGATTGAGACCCCGATATCAACCATCATTAAAAGTATGAAGTTGGGCGAAGTGGCATTCCTAGCTATTTAGGAGGCTCATATGGCACCCAGGAGGATTCCTGCCAGTTCCAGGCCAGCCTGGGCTACACACCAAGACCCAACTCACCCTGCACAAGGCTTTCCGATATTACATGCATCTTTAGGCCTCAGTGGCCAAATCCGACAGAGCAGCCCTGTCTTTCACCTCTGCTGACTCCAGCTCACCCCAGACCTCTGAAGTTTCTTGGGTGGAAGAGGCACTGTGACCCACCTTCCCTGTACAAGGGTGATGAATTGGAGGCCAGGAAACAGTTCACGTCACAGAAATAATCAGTGTAAAACTAAACTGCCATCCTAACGCTGCCCAGAGTAGACAAGGTGGAGAAAAGGAGAAACAAAGGCAGGAAAATGAGCGGAGAAGGAGTACGCCGAACCCAGGACGGCCGGACTGTGAGAGAAGACACGAGAAGACGTTAAAAGGCATGGCATGGCAGGCATGCGGTTAATGGTGGCGCACGCCTTTAATCCCAGCACTCGGGAGGCAGAGGCAGGCGGATCTCTGTGAGTTTGAGGCCAGCCTGGTCTACAGAGTGTGTTCCAGGACAGCCAGGATGGCAAAGTGAGACCCTTTCTCAAACAAACAAACCCCAAATACAAATGCTGAAAATAATTTCCACAGACCACCACCAGAAAGAGAAAATCACCAACATCCCGGAGCCAGGAGATTTCCCTTAGGAATCAGATGTGCTAAGTGGTATCTCCCAGAACACACCTCAGCTAGGGAAAATGCCCGTGGTTCCAGCCTGCTTCCGGTAACACTTCACCGGTCTGGGAGACAAAGTCACCTGTGTTCACTGCAGGCCTAGCAGGCCCTGTCTGGTTCCAGCAAGAATAGGTGTGGGCTGCCCAGACGAGGGAGGCCACAGCAGACGCACAGCTGGCTCTGGGCCCTGGGTGACTTACCGTGGTGATGAACCTGTAGAGCGGTTGTCTTCTCTCTGTGTACTTGACTGTGATGGGGCTGAGGTCATAGCGGAACCAGATGGCGGGGATAATGCGGCCCGTGTGGCTGTAGGCAACATACTCCTATAGGAGAGAAAAGGAGGGTGACGGGAGAATTACAGGCAGAGCCAGCCTCAGGAGGGTGAGGGTGTGGACTGCAGCAGGGCATCCAGACAGCTTCCTCTCACTCCTCCTCCCAAGGCCTCAGGGCAGGCAGCACAGTGGGGCGTTTTCCTTCAGCTGTAGGAAATGGACCATGTAACTCAGAAGTGGCGCCAGAACTGAGCACCAATCTGAAGGGTGAGATGTGAGAGGAGAGCTTTGCGCTCAGTCTGAATATTTCCTCCTTGAATCACCTGGCCGCATAAAATCTAGTCATTTATTCTGTCGGGCACCTCGGCTGTTCTGGGATTCCTGGGGCGACAAGGCCTCTTCCCCAGAGGAGTCAGGACTGCCAGGCGTGAGGACACAGACATCGCAGCATCACTGACTTCCAACAGTGTTCATGTAGGGTTGAGCGACTCCAGTGCTCACGGGGCCATAAATGAACTGCCGATTCTCCTTAGGGGAATCTGGAAGGCTCACTGAGGAGGGGACATTCTAAACCACGGCTGATGGATAAGAAGACATCCTGTCTGATGTGTCAATGTGATGAGTACAAAGACCAACTGGGGGCGAGCTTGCCCACAAAGAAGGGCCAGCAGAGAGAACTGGAAAGGGGCAGTGCCCAGCCCGCCATGGCTCCTAAGAAGCACACAGCAATGTGTGGCCACCGAGGAGCTAAAGCGACAGGCTGTCTTTGGGCCAGCCTTACCCTCTCCTGAAGGGCTTGGTTTCTCCCACTGCAACCCTGGGGATCAGGGCAATGACCCACAGGATCTCTTACTGGGGCACTTCAGGGCACTGAGAAGCTCTGAGCATGTCTCTCTTGTTTACAACAAATGGAGATGGATGCTGGGTACCCCAAGCCCCACCCCTGTGTCCCCTGCACTGGTCTTGAGCAGCTGGGCTGATTCCACGGACCCCACTGAGTCCTAACCTCCCACTGGACAGCTACTTCCATTCATAGGACAGGCTGGGGCCAGAGCCACAGAGAATGCTGAGTGAGCTGTTCCAGCCACCAGGCCCTTGCCAAAGCCTTGAGGGCAGGAGCCCGGGGGCAGAGAAAACTCCACTTTCCCAGGGGAGAGCTGAGAGAGCAGGGTGACTGTCTGGGTTGCGGCCCAGAGCTGAGGGATGAGAAACAGAATGAAAAATAGCAGCAGTAGACACCAATTACCCAAGCCTTCTTTGCAGGCTGAGCGCTCTTCTGAAAACATTGCTTCATTTGACAGCAATCTTGTGGAGTAACTACCACGGACATATTATAAACAAGTAAACAGGCAATGATGACTGAGCTGGGATGGGGTCGTGAGGTCCAGAGCCCCCCATGCTTCCTGCTCAGATGTGCCAGCACTGGGGGTTACAATGGTTTAAACATGTCCCACCCCCCTCAAAGTCATATGCATTTGTTTGTTGTAGTGCTGGTGGTTGAAACCAGAGCCTTGTGCATGCTGGGCAAGTGCCATCAGCTCTCTCCTCCGTCTTAGTTTACATCGTCCATTTTTCTGCAGGTCAATGGATAAGTATAGTATACACATGTATACAGAAGTATACATTGGTGGGAACTGGAGGTGAGGCCTTTGGGAGGTGATTAAGTTAGATGAGGCCATGAGGGTGGGGTGCCAGCGGCAGCATTGGTGCTTCTGTGAGAGGAGGAAGATGCTCGCTCCTAGGCTGCCAGTGTGCTTGTGTCTCTCCATGCCCTGCCTGCCCACCACTGTGTGATGATGATACAGCAAAAAGGCTCAGCACAGGCCGGGGACAATCTTTTTGACTTTCTCTTCTCCAGCTCCATGAGATAAAGCAACTTCTGTTCCTTATCTGTTACCTAGTCTTCGGATTTTGTTACATCACCAGGGAAGAGAGTGGGCTAGACTCCGTCTCTGACATAGTGAATGAAAGAAATAAGCCTCCCCAGAGAGTTATGGATCAGAGCAAACCAGAGCAGAGGGACCCATCACTGAGAGGCTTCCCAAGTGGGTAAGCCTGGACAGCCCCTTGATAGATGGACAGACTGGACAGATGGAGTGGGTGAGCAATCAGGGGGCTCTGGAGCCCAAAAGGAACCTGGCCCTAATCCCTACATGGCAGCTAGACAGCTCTGTGACTATCAGTTTCTTGGTGACCAAATCTGTAAAATGGGGACAACAGCTCCCATATCAGGACAGTCATGGTGACTGAATTGGTGATGGAAGCCAGGTGGTGGCGCACACCTTTAATCTCAGCACTTGGGAGGCAGAGGTAGGCAGATCTCTGTGAGTTCGAGGCCAGCCTGGTCTACAGAGTGAGTTCTAGGATAGCCAGGGCTACACAGTGAAACCCTGTCCTGAAAAAGAGATAGAAAGAAAGAAAGAAAAAAAAGAAAGAAAGAAAGGAAGAAAGAAAGAAAGAAAGAAAGAAAGAAAGAAAGAAAGAAAGAAAGAAAGAAAGAAAATGAATGGATGGAGGCAGGCAGCTGGGTATGTCTGGTTCCTAAGAACTCAATACACGACCACCCAATCATGATTATAGTTGAACTAAATAGTCCATCATTTACTTAGGGTTTGGGTAGCCTTGCAACAGCAGAAACAGGAGAGCCCTGGTGGTAAACAGGAAAACCCACCCACTGGGCTGGGGCAGGGATTCCTCCTACTCCGGGCACTAGTGTCCATTGGCAATGCAGTTTCTGGAGGGGCCCAAGCCACTAACTACAGGGTCATCTCATTTCGTCGGCTCTGATGTCCCTCTGTCTGTCTGTCTCTTGGAGTGTTGGGGTCCTGGGACATCCACAGCCACCCTGATATGATTCCTCGGGCATCTACCATGTGCTGGTCCATAGGAGCCTGAAAAATCAGGACCAGAAGATTTGGGACATTTAGGGACAGTCCTCTGCCTGCTATTTCAAACAGATCACATTTTATCTCTTTGTTAGTTTCTCCCTTAGACCTTGAGGCCACCACAATGACAAGGACTGAGTACTTCATCTTTACCTAGACTAGACAATGAGACTGGTAGGACTACCTACTACTCCCCAACCCCATTAATTCCTTTCAGCAGAACGCACGGGGGCATTGCCTCTTCTCTCAGCCAGCAGAGGGCGCAACTGCGATGCTCAGTCCATTTCCAGCCCACTCACCTTGTTGGCCACTGTGTACTGGTAGGAGTAACGCTGCTTGCCATTCTTGTCCTCATACACTGTGGGCACAATCTTCAAGATGTAGTCATGGGAGGCCAGGGCTGCAGGGAGTACAAAACAAGATGAAACGTGGCGGGCACTGCTGGCGGGGTGGCCCCACATGTCACCCCAAGCTCAAGTCCTCCTGGCATCCCAGAGTGCTTTCCCCTCTTCTCTTCTCCGGAATGCCAGGGCCTGAGCAATTAATTCCATTTGCTGGGATCTTTACGTCTGCATTACATAACATATAATATTCGGGGTCACACACTCACAAATGGGGCAACCATTAAAGAGGGGTGCTGAGAAGGCATTATCTCCAAGAACCAAGCCACGGATCAGCATGCTTCTGTGAATTAGGGGCCAGGGGACACGTTCTCTTCAATGTGTGAACACACAGAATTATTTAGAAAGAGCTCCCAGGAAACAGAGCAGCTTCAGTGTCCCCTTTACCTAGACTAGAGAGAGACTGGCAGGACGGCACTCCTCACCATGCCCCACTCCCCACAAAAGTTTCCTGGGGGAAAGGTAGGATTCGAGAAAGACCCCATTTCATTGTGGGCATTGTCTGCATGCCTTTCCTTTTAAAATAAACTGGGTTCTGGGTTTCAGAGAGAAAAACAAAAAGAATCCCCCAGAAAGAACTATGTAAGAACTGATTAATCCCCAAGGATGGGGATGTGTTCAGTGGTCAAGCACCTGCCTAGCACACACGTGGCCTTGGCCGCAATCCCAGCACTGCAAACACAAAAACCCCAAAACCTGGTCAACTTCTCTTCTTTCTCAATAAACATCTGATCGTTCAGCCCTGCAATATTTCAACATAATCCCTTTACCCGGCTCTCTCCTCTCCTCTCCTCCAGCTTGGATGGGGGAAGACGTTGAGGACAAGGACTAAGCCTTACATTCCTGCCCCCAAACCCTGCACAGAGCCTGGTACTGAGTGGACAGTGGCAAATCTTGCTGAATGAATGAATGGACAGAAGGATGACTGGACAAAGGCATGAATGGAGAATGGATCAATCAGCTACTGATAAGCATGAGGTAACAGGAATTAGAGCTGCCACAGCCTCCCCGAGCATGAGGTAACCGGAACCAGAGCTGCCACAGCCTCTCCAGGCATGAGGTAACCGGAACCAGAGATGCCACAGCCTCCTAGGGCAAGGACTTCTGAACCCTGTGGGCCTTTAGGATGCCAATAGAGGTCCAACATCCATCCCTCTCATTCCTTCTAGAACCTTAGGCTGGGAACCATGGAGCTAAAATAACATAGAAATTGAATCGCCTGGGTCCTAACCTTGGTCTCCACAAGTCAGTCCTGTCTTCAGACTCATGTGTAAGAGTGGTGGGCATAGAGAGAATCTTCTAGCCCTGACAAGTTCACTCCCTGACTCTTCCTGACCCTTACGCCACCCCAGGAAAGCACAGGACTTCTGAAATCAAGTTGACACCCCAGGAAACTTAGGGAAAGCCCTCTAGCCTTTAAGCTAAGCCCAGGGGACCCCATACCTCTTGTTCATGCCTGCAATGGCTCTCAGAGTTCTGAGCACTAGGATCACCTGGGATCAAAGGCAGACCCTAGTTCTCACCCCTGGAGACTCCCACGTGATGGACTCAGTATCTATAACTAAACCAGGAGGCCAAAGACCATCTTGAAGTATATCTCTCAAATTCCATTACCCAGGGATAAAGCATGAAGTAATGAATACCTTGGCAAAAGTCACAACTGTAATATTTTTTGTTGTTATTTATACAAAACAAAGGTAGTCTCTCTCTCTCTCACACACACATACACACACAAATGAAAGTCACCTTTATGTCTACTGTATACAGAAAACCAGTTCACATTCCCACTGAAGTATTGTAGTGGGTAGCCATTCCAGTTTTGATCTGGAAGTTCCAACCCCCATTGAGGCTTCGGCAACTGTCACGCCTACAAGGCGGGGCCAAGGGAGGTACCTGGAGACCCGAGATCTGGATGGGCCAGGGCTCTCTCTGTTCCTGGACCCTTGACGGTGGAGGTTGACCGAGCAGAGCTCCAGAGAACACCGCTGAACTGCGATACACCTTCCCCAGACCCCACGACCTACCTATCCCTTTTTAGTTACCCACTAAATAAATCTTCCTTTTAACTACGTGGAGTGGCCTTAATAATTTCACCAATATCTGGCGCCCAACGTGGGGCCCAAACCCATGCCTGAGATTAAGAGTCTCATGTTCTACTGACTGAGCTAGCCAGGCTAGCTGAACATGTCAGATGTCCTCATGGAATCACACTGGGGCTTCTCCTCAGGACCAGGTATCATGAACATCTTTCAACAACACCAAATGGAAGCCTGTAGAGACTGTTGGCTTCACCTCCTTGTTTCCAGAACTCGGTACTGTGCCTGAGCAATATGCAATGGATGTGTGACTGCCGAACAGTCATGAGGCATCATGGCCAGCAGCTGCCACATTCCAAGATGCAGGTCCCTACCACACATTAGGGGTAACACTAATATGGTTCTTCAAAGCAACCCAGTGGACATTATTTTTCTTAGCTTAGTATGTGTGTACATGCACACATAGGCATGTATAAAAATGGATACATATGTGTGTATATGTGTGTGCACTCTTTGGCCCTGAGTAGAGAGATACAGCACTCTCTAAAACTCTGGAAGAAGCCAATGATTGACAGGAATGGTTTGGGCAGGAGATGGGGGAGGGGAGGGCCCAGCTTGTTTCCTCCCTGACCCCCTATGGAGCTGGTTTCCATAGAGTGGATTCTGGTTCTGCTGCAACTCTATGGGATCCAGGTGACTACCTCCGCTCAGGACGATGGCAAAGCAGTGATTAACAACAGTGACAGTAGCTGGTGTCAGAGTTTGGCGATATTCCAGGGCTGCGATCTACCTTCTCTAGGGACAGGCTACTCTCTTCCCTTTTCGGTAAGACAGGAATGAGTCTGCATGCCTCACGGGGCAGCTGTGGGAAAGGAATGGTTGGAGGATATGACCTCTGCTTGCAGCAAGCACCTGACTAAGTCTTCTGCCCCTCTGGCTGCCAAGTTCCCATGCCACCTACTGTGAGGAGACACCTCAGGGAGAGGGTTGCTTATGCTGGGATACTCACGGTTGGAGGTGAGTCTGTCCGCTCCACCGAGAGCATTGAAAGCTCCATGAACATTCTGGACCTGCAGAGAAGCACAGTGAGAGAAGGTCCCTAGGGGGCCTTGTCAGTGGGGACTGGCCAGGGACCACCAGGTCACGAAGGGCAATCCATCAGGGACTGGTTCATACAAAGGCCTGGGGAGCAAGAGACAGTGCAGGCTGGGTACACATGTGGCAGCAGCATGCTTGCCATTTTAAGCACCTACTGTCCTGGCTACTTTGTGTCATCTCATTTATCCCCCTTTAAAAATAGACCTCTTAGCCCACTCTACAGACTAGCAAAGCAAGGCTTGGAGCAGCACCCCAACTTGTCAGACATCTGAGTTGCTGACTGAGCCAAAGTGAACTCAGTCTGTGGCCCTGAGAGCCTGCAGAGAAAACTCAAAGGACCACTCTTGTCACATTCCTTCCATGATCCTTCCAGCCCCCGTGAAAGGTCCTGAGAAGAGCCAGCCTAGGGTTGCAGAGCTGTGGCCTCCTACTGTGTCAGCTGTAGGTGACACACGAGAGGTATGAAGAGTCACCTCCACACGGCAGTGGTCACACTGTCCTCGGGCAGGGGCTGCAGGAGAAGCAGGCTAAGAACCACACTCCCCGTCTCCTTCGAGGATGAAACCAGGCCGGCCCCAGAACAATTGTGCCCCGCACATGGAGCCCGCCACCGGATCCAGTTAGCAAGCAAGGGCTTCTGGGAGGAAGGATCATTGACACTGATCTGGAGGAAGGCCCCGAGTGCGCCAAGCAAGCAGAGCCTGCAAAGGTCTGAGCCTGAAGACCAGGTCAGACAGAGACCCACGGGACCCCAGGGAAGAGGGAAGGGGGAGAGCAGGGCGTAGGTGGGATAGGCCCCTGTAGAGAACGCTTTAGGAGCAGCAGGTGGGGGACATGACCCTCAGGCTGACCTCACAGGCCGATGCTTGCTGACAGTCACAGAAGTGTACTCTCAGCATGTGATCAGGGCAGTGTAGGGCAGCAGTGTGGCCATCTGCTGCCTTGGGACCCCAAGTGTGAACGACTTGGTTCCTGATCCCCAAGGATGGAGGTGTTGTGGTGTTGGAAGGCTCACACCAGCGGGGACCACCCTCGGCCTGACCAACATGTGCAAGACTTGGCACACAGTAGGTGGTTGACAAATGTGAACAGATGGACATGGATTGGCTCTAAGCTAAGAAAAACTCCAATTCCTTGGAGCAGAGGATAGCTGTAATCCTTTGGTTTTGTTCCTACATGCAGCGCCAATCCGCCCTCTCGCCTTCTCCCTTCTCCCCTGCCTTAGCCTGGGTCCGTGTTCTCCTTGCCCAGGGCATGTCCCTTCCCTCACCTCTTGCCTACAGTCTTGCTTCATGGACCCTTCTGCCTCATAAAAGATGTATGTTCAGTGTGGCAGTGGCCTCACTCATCAGCATCCCCTCCTCTGTCAGTGTGGCAGTGGTCTCTCTCATCAGCATCCCCTCCTATGTCAGTGTGGCAGTGGTCTCTCTCATCAGCACCCCCTCCTATGTCAGTGTGGCAGTGGTCTCTCTCATCAGCATCCCCTCCTCTGTTCAGTGTGGCAGTGGTCTCTCTCATCAGCATCCCCTCCTATGTCAGTGTGGCAGTGGTCTCTCTCATCAGCATCCCCTCCCATGTCAGTGTGGCAGTGGTCTCTCTCATCAGCACCCCCTCCCATGTTAGTGTGGCAATGGTGTCACTCATCAGCATCATCAGCATCCCCTCCCATGTTAGTGTGGCAGTGGTTTCTCTCATCAGCATCCCCTCCTGTGTTAGTGAGGCAGTGGTCTCACTCATTAGCATCCCCTTCACCAACCTAGCACAGGCTTTCCCCACACAAACCCAGTTCCCTGCTCCCTTCCTTCAGACAGATTTCTCTGGGCTTTCAGCCAACTGAGAGGAGCCCTCTTGGGTGACTCAGGCCTTTGGCACTTCATGTCTATATGTGTCATTCTGGGGTCACAGATACATGCTGATTAATTTTTCTGAAAGTCAGCATGAGAGTCTGTTAATATAAAAACAAAGGGTTGGGTACGGCATAGAGTGGGCCTTCTGAGAGAGGGTGATGTGTCCGATGATCCCTTGCCTGGGTCTTGTGTCACTGACCATCATGGGCCTGGCCATGTTTGGATATAGCAAGAAGGAGGCCCTCTCCATAATACCATGCTGGTAGTCTGCTCTTGATTTCTGAGACCCCAGAGCTGTTCATTAAACACTACCCAGTCTGTGCTGCTCAGGGAGAGCAACAGAAAACAGACCGAGACTGCCATGAGGGGAGTGAGCTGAACTCTGGAGTCCACCTCCCTCCCAGCCCCAGTTCCCAGCTTGAGCATCTGAGTCTGCCGTGTGGTTGGTGACACCATAGCCACATCCTCAGAAGACGTGACAAAGAGGAGTGGAGTGAAACAGAGCCTCATGTGGGTGACCCTTAGGGAGGAGCCCCAATACACCAGCTCACCCTTGTCTTCCCCGCTCTGCCCCACTCACCTGCAGTGTATCCCCAAAGGAGAGCTTGTGGATGATATGTGTCATGTCCGGGTTCTGTGGCTGGGCTGTGGCACTGTGCGTGGACACGTGGAAGTTGCCGGGGACCTAGAGGGAGAAAGGCAGGTTTCATGTATCTGGGTGGTTGTCCAAGAGGGCTAACTGCAAAGGCTGTCTGATCTACCTATGGACTGGGGCACAGGAGTCAGACATACATTAGGACTGGGGCTCTGGCTCCGCATTTCCAACTGCATGACTTTGAGGATGACTGGTACACTCACAGAAGCTACGGGAAGAGGACAACCAGGGACAACCCAGGGTAAGAGTGCATGTGAGGTATCCAGTGGGCACCCGACAGAGCCTGAACTCAAATCGACAGCAGCCCCCACCCATCTCTGTGGATTCAAGGCCGCTAGCTCCACAGTGGGTGAGGGTGTACTCTGAACCAGCAAATGACTTCCTTGAATTCTAAACCAAGCTTACACCTACTCAGGTCGGCCTCATCACCAAGGGAATCCCAAGAGACCGACTACAGCGGCGGCCTTCGTCTTCCCTACCCACAATCCCTGCAGAGAATCTCAGAACAGCTTCTGGCCCGGTTCCCAGTGTCTGCTCACCCTTGTCTCTCCCCACACAGACCCTTCCCCAGGGCTGTGAGAGGAAGTGTGTTAAATCCTAACCTTTGATCTTGCCACACCTCAGCCATAAACCCTCCAAGGCTTCTGATGGGCAGCCTGCCTTTTTTTATTTTAAGTTTTATTTATTTATTATGTCTACAGTGTTCTGCCTGCATGTGTGCTTGCAGGTCAGAAGAGGGCACCAGATCTCATTACAGATGGTTGCGAGCCACCATGTGGCTGCTGGGAATTGAACCTGGGGCCTCTGGAAGAACAGCCAGTGCTCTTAACTGCTGGGCCATCTCTCCAGCCCAGTCAGCCTGCTTTTTTTTTTTTTTAACCTTTTAGAGCTTTATTGGGAGGGGGGAGAGACAGAGAGAGAGAGAGAGACAGAGAGAGACAGACAGACAGAGACAGAGAGAGAGAGAGACAGAGGGGGGGAAAGAGGGGGGACGACGTGAGGAAGGAGCGGAAAGGCTTTTTTTTTTTTTTTTTCAGCCTGCTTTTTGAAGGTGGTTTGTCACACAAGAGTTCACGTGCTGGGGGTGTGGCCTCACTGTGGCCATGAGCATAGAGGCAGGGCTTGTATGATTTGGGGCCTAGTTGGGGGTGGTGACCCTTAGGCTGCTAAGGGACACTGCTCTCAGAATGGATTGATGTGGTTCTTGTGGGACCTAGGTTGGTTTTTGAAAGAGCAAGGCTGGCCTGGCCTCTCTTCCACATCCTTCCTTTGGGATCCTCTGTCACACGTCCACTACTGTGATATTGTCCACTGAGAGGACCTCATCAGAGGCCAACTGATGGGCACCTTGTCCTGAATTTTTTAGCTTCAAGGGCTAAATAAATATCTTTTCTCTATACATTACTGCCTCAGTATTTCACTACGGCAATGGAAAAACTGAGTGACCCAGTTGAGTCCACATGCTCCTGCAGTGCATCCTGGCCACTGCACTGGCCTGGTCACACATCATCCTGGTCACACACTCAGTCCTACTCTCCATGCCTCGTCAACAGCACTCTCAGCTCTGCTCACTCCTCAGCCCCACTAGCCTCCCTGTGGCCCTGGGAACAGTGCCCTGCACAGCCCCACCTTGGGGCCTTTGTGCCTCTCACTTCTTCCTGGAATGCTTGTCCATCAAGCTTTTCCCACCCCCCTTTAGTCCTATGCTCAGGCTGGGGAGGGCCCTCAGCTCTGTTTTGGGGATATGTTCAGGGAGGACTTCCCGGGGGAAGGATTTCCTCGTGCAGAGGCCCGAAAGCCCGAGTTTCTCAGGAAGACAGGGTAAGGTCTCAAAGCAGAGAGAGCAGGAGCAAGCAGAAGCCATGCCTGAGAGAGAGGAAATCCCTGAACAGAAAGGGGTCAAGGATAAGGGCAGTGGCAGGCAGCAAAAGTGGGAGGGTGAGGCCATTTAGCTAAAATCCCAGCTGCCACACTGAAAACCCAGGGTCTGTCTTATTCCAACTGCCAGGGAGTGAGGAACATGGCCACATCCTGGCATGTGACGGTCCCTCAGGGAGCCTTTGTCCGAGAACTGTTGGAGGCACTGGGCTGAGGGTCTTCAGCTGTGACAGCCTGTCTTCAGCAGTGGCTGAAGTGGGCAGCCCAGGGGACCAGGGGTGGCAGCTCAGGAAGGTCTCTAGGATGAGCAGAGCATGAGCATGGCCTGCCTCATAGACCCAACACAAGTGGTTCTCCACACTTGGGCTCATGCCCGGTTGTCACCCTGTGCCTCAGTTTTCCCATTGTGGGGACGATGACCACAGAGGTTTTGAGAACGGCAGAAGTCGTCAGGCACGTGAGATGAACATGCTTGAGTACTCACAAAGAAGGGGCCCTGGCAGAGCAGGCAGCCAGCCGGGTGTGAGGAAAAGCCACTGCCTTTGAAAACAATTTCACGCTTCCTTTCACAGCGTAAGTAATACCTGAGTTTATTTCCATTACAAAACCTGCACAGGGCTAGGTGAGGCCTAGCAGAGATGCAGCCAGGCGCCTATGGCAGGAAGAGCACCTTGCCACATACACACAAGGCCTTGGGATCCATTCCAGCACCCGGGGGGAAATAAAAGCTCTTAACACGATACCATCAGAGCTCCTCAGAATGACAGTGTCCTGGCAGGTTTTCTGGGCAGGCCCAGGCACAGACAACCTTGGGTTTGGGGTCTCTGTCCCCAGGGTTAAGAGAATTAAGGAGAAAACTGGCTCCTGGGTATCTGCCACCCGCTGCCAGCCCTTCGAGGCTGTGACTCAGTAACCCACTCCACTCCACACCAAATCCATCACAGGGGTCTGAGTCACACAAGCACACACTGAGCCGAAGAAACAGAAGAGGACGCTTTTGGAACCTGTGACTTAGGCACCTACGTCAGTGTCTTGGATGGATTTTAAAAATATATAGCTGGAGTCGGTCCCCCCTTCCCTCTGCCTTCCTTCCAGAGGCAGTCATGATTAGCAGGGCTACCAGGCAGGCTCAGTCTGAGCTGCTGGGGACTGCTGGGGCACCTGCAGGTGAACTCTGGCATCTGGCTGTTGGTTGACTTGCTGATGGCTGGAAAAAGGGGCCATGTCTATTAAAGGGTCTATAAAGGGGACAAGTCTGTGTCTAATGATGGAAATCAGGGAGGGACAGCTGCTCTCCTTGTCCTCAAAGCAGGCTGTCACACTGGCTTTATTTTATTTTATTTTTTGGAAGGGGGGTTTTGAGACAGGGTTTCTCTGCATAGTCCTGGTTGTCCTGGAACTCACTCTGTAGACCAGGCTGGCCTCGAACTCAGAGATCCCCTGCCTCTGCCTCCTGAGTGTTGGGATTAAAGGTGTGTGCCACCACTGCCCGGCTTATATTGTCTGTCTTCAGGACAGCTCCAGAGGCACAAGACACCAGAAAGGGAGAGTGGGCAGGATCAGGAGTCTGTATTCTCCAAAGGGTTGAGTGGACAGTGGTCTGAAGAACTTGGCCACTCTGATCATAGTATATATAATATAGATGTTAAAAGCAGTAGTCACAGGCAGGGCTCAGGGCCCAGTGGCCAGAGCGCCTGGATTCAGACACTGTGGTCCCTCAAATGCAACTTGACTCCCATGCTCCAGTTAAGGAACAGGTAAGAATCCAATGGACAGTAGTCGTGTACAGTACAAGGGCTGGATAGTCCTTTCACAGGTGCCCTGGCCACCATGCTCTCCTTCTCTGGCTCAGAGAAGCCCAGTTTCTTGCATGTCTGCTGTTCATGTGCAGTGTGCAAACACACTCACACCAAATGATGTCAAGCATAGGCTGACAAGGGCAGGTCCATAGCCTACTGATGGGTTACAAGGGCAAGGCAATAACCTACTGATGGGTTACAAGGCAGGGTCATAGCCTACTGATGGGTTACAAGGGCAGGGCCATAGCCTACTGATGGGTTACAAGGGCAAGGCAATAACCTACTGATGGGTTACAAGGCAGGGTCATAGCCTACTGATGGGTTACAAGGCAGGGTCATAGCCTACTGATGGGTTACAAGGGCAGGGCCATAGCCTACTGATGAGTTACAAGGCAGGGCCATAGCCTACTGATGGGTTAGAAGGCAGGGCCATAGCCTACTGATGAGTTACAAGGCAGGACCATAGTCTACTGATGGGTTACAAGGCAGGGCCATAGCCTACTGATGGGTTACAAGGCAGGACCATAGTCTACTGATGGGTTACAAGGCAGGACCATAGTCTACTGATGGGTTACAAGGCAGGGCCATAGCCTACTGATGGGTTACAAGGCAGGGCCATAGTCTACTGATGGGTTACAAGGCAGGGCCATAGCCTACTGATGGGTTAGAAGGCAGGGCAGAAAAGGGTGCCCATGCCTGTCCAGTCACCAACATGTCTGATTTGGTCATATGAGGTAGATAATAACACTCCCCCTCCCCCTTATATGCTGCTGGGGTGCTCACTCAGAGCGTCCCCAACCTAAACCTATGATTTCCCACATCACTGTTCATTGCTGACTCCTACAGGAAGTCCTGTTGCCCAAAACTCTCTCCTTCAACCCCAGAAACACGCCTCCGAATTCCGGCTTCACATTTCCCTGGAGATAGGAGATTCCCTGCTGGGAATCAAACATATCCGAATTGAAGGGCTGATGCCCAGCCCCTCCCACAGAAGCGCTCCCTCGCAGGCTTCCTCCGCTGCAAAACAGCTATGGGAGCAGGAACTTAGCAGGGTCTTTGGGTCTGTGGGTGCTTCACCGGTCACCCCCAATTCACAGCTCAGTCCTGTTGACTGTCCTCTTCCACTTCAGCTCTTGGCCACCTCCCACCCCCAGGCAGCCCACCAAGAGGACTATCTACTAGGCTGACCAGCAGATGTCAGGCAGTGATGGACATGCCCTGACTGTCTGTTGCTACCTGCCACGGAACCTCACTCAACTGTTCACTGCCTCTGATACAAGGTGCACATTACAAATCTGGAATGAACGGTGGGTGTCCACTCATTCACCCAACGTGAGATCTGTGACATGGTTGACGCCACTGTGACACTGTTAGCATCACCGCTATAACCTCAGGTGGCCTGTGGGCTACTGCTTGCTGGAGAGGAGGGACTGGGACTTGAAGGCAGGTCTTCTCACCTCTCTCGATGTCCTCCACTCCAACAAGGTGTAGCCCTTTCTGAACCCACCATCAGGGGCTTGAAATCCCAGGGAGTTCAAAGCCTACCCAGTCTCAGAGAGAATGATCAGGCAGTCATGTGCTGATTCTCGGCTTGCTAGGGCTTCTGTTGAGGTCAGGTGGGTAGTGGGGAGGAAAAGGGCCCAGGCAGTGTCTCCATACCTTGTTGATGCTGAACTGGCCCTCGAAGCGGCAGCCTGCTCCGTTGTCCAGCGGGATCTTCATGGAGTTGTCGATGTGGCCCACTTCATGCCTGCCCATCTCATCTTGGATGTCAAGCCCGACCACTGTGGGGGCCAAAGAGAGCAGTCACCCACACCCACCGAGCGGGGACCAGCCCACTTCTGCAGATGCCCCATTTAGCCCTCCATGAACCCAAGGCTACACAGGGAGTCAGCCAGCAGAGGAGAAAGCGGCTGCTTGGCTCAGAGAGAGCAGCATCCAAAACGGTCCCCCCCCGAAGTCACAACGCCCCTACCGCTGCCTGAGGCTGGTGAGGATGGAGGAGGAGCTAGGAGGAAGCAGGGTCTAGATCAGCCAAGGATGCAGGGTCCTGGGTGACCCAGCTACATGCGAAGACAAAGGGAGGCTGTGGGGTAAGAGGGACCACAGGGGTCTGCCACTCGGTCTGCCATCTGGATCCTCACTGTGTCCTTCCGCGCATGTGACACGACTCAGGTGCTCATTAACCTCAGTGCCTCAGTTTACCTTTTTGAAATACGGGGCGATAGGAATTGAACTTTTAGTGGAAGAGTATGTGGACCCAAGCTTTTGCACTGTAACAATGAGCAGGCTGCGCTACTGTGTTCCCTGACATGGTCCCGGTGTGCGCAGGGGGAGAGGCTCATGTCCACCTTGGGAATGTAGCAAGCTTCCTGGCAGGCATATCAGAGGAAGCTTGACACAGAGAAAGAATAGATCTTTTAAAGCAAGCTATTTTAAAGACAAGGCATAGAAGGAAAATGGGAACAGCCACGTTCCTCAGTGGGTGTAGGGGAAGTTATGTGCCAGCCAGTGTGGAAGGACACGTGACATGGCCATCACAGATGATGCCACTGGTCTGTAATGAGAAAGCTACAGAAACGCAAGCAATCCCCGCCTGACTCAACGGTTCCTCTTGAGGCCAGCTTGCAGAGACACTCATGCTCGGACATGTGCAAAAGGCAATTCCAGTCAGCCTTGATGGAAACTGTGACAATTAGAAGCCACCCATGTGCCTGTCAAAATGATAGTGGCTGGTGGATCAGGTCTCCTCTGTGATGTGAAGCAGCAGGTAGAGAATGCACTAACTGGCATGCATGGAGAGGCTGGCCTTGGTCCCTGGAAGGCATGCTACCTAACCTTCCGGTGACTTAGTTACCACAGGCTTGCTGTGGAGACCGGGAAACTCAAAATAGCACTTGCTATGTGCTGGACACATCACTAAAGACTTTGGTGTAAGAATGCAGGACCTGAACATTTCTGTGGGGAAGACGATGTTATAACTATCCAGCCAACATCAGCGGAAACTGAGGCACAAAGAGCTCACAACTGATAAGCAATGGAGCTTGCACAGGAGTCAGAGTGTCTTGCTCTGAGCCTATCCCCAGGCGGCTGGCTGGAACACAGCTCTGATTCAGAATAGGCCTTGGTGGGAAAACAGCTGGTTATTATTTCACTAATAGTGTAAGGAACTTAAGAAAAGCTGGATGTGTGTGTGTGTGTGTGTGTGTGTGTGTGTGTGTGTGTGTGTGTGTGTGTGTGTGTGGCGGGGGGGACACTTCACAAAAGTTCTACAACATCTAGAGAATAAAACAGAAAGCAAACAGGATACATATCCCGGTACGCACGCATCCTCAGATACCGAAGTCTTGGGATGCTTAAGCTCCCCCTGTAAAATGGAGGGGTATTTTCATTCCAGACCTGGCATTATCCAGGTTACTCTCACAGCCCAGGACAAGGCGAATGCCATGTAAGTAGCTGCCATCCTTTGGACTGCAGTCCCTCTCAAAGGCCCACGTGATGGAGCCTCTGGTGCTTCAAGAAGGTGGCAAACCTTTGAGAGCGGGGCTTAGGGGGACGTCCTTACTGTTGCTAGGCTGCACTCCTGGAGGGGACAGTGAAGTCACTGCCCTTTGCCCTCTCTCATTTGCTTCTTTTGCTTGAGGGGAACAGATCTGCACATCCCATGTTCTCATCACACTATACGACACTGCGTCAGCCAATCAGACCGAAAGGTGCAACATCCGGTCCTATGTGTCAGCCAATCAGACTGAAAGGTGCAACATCCGGTCCTATGCGTCAGCCAATCAGACCGAAAGGTGCAACATCCGGTCCTATGCACTATTCTCTTTAGATGTTGGTGGTCTCTGGCATTTTACACTAACAAAATGATAACACAGTGACTTCCTGGGCCATACTGTTTAGGAAATAACGATGAGCAAAAGGTCTGTGTATTTTCAGGTCAGATGTATTTTTTTTCTCTGAATGCTTTCGTCCTGTGGTTGCTGAATCCAGGGGTGTGAGGCTGCAGACTCAGAGCGACAATGTTTACAGACACACACACACACCAAGAGGGAAAAGAAGCCTCCTCTGTCATCACAGGCTGCTTTGGGGGCAATGACATACCGGGGGCAACAAAGAGGAACAAGGAAGGGGTACTTTCGTGTTTATAAAAACATATCTCTATTTCCCTCTGTGCCAGAACTCTAACTTAGGCGAAGCAAGCATTCTCCCACTGAGCTTCAGTTCCGTACCTTGAAGAATAACTCCTGTGTTCGCCGTGTAATGAACAGTAGTGCCATTGTTATGACATTTACCATGCTGGGAATGGAACCCGGGGCCTTGGCATGCCAGGCAAGTGCTCTACCCCCTCCGTCCCAGACTATTTTTTTTTTTTTGAAAGCAGGATATGAGATGACACCTGTCGTATGACCTCAGCCATGTTCAGAAATGCACAGGAGGGAGACCAATGGGACAGAATGATGTCAGAATGTCCACAGACCCTGTCATGGGGGGGGGGTGGAATTATGGGTGATTTCCTCCGTGTCTCTGGATTTTCCAGAGACACATAGACAGACGTACGTTTTTGTGTATAACAAAGTCTCGTGCGTGTGCGTGTGCGTGTGCGTGTGCGTGTGTGTGTGTATGTGCACGCGCTGAGTGGTACAGGAACCCAGGGTCTTGGGCACGCTGGGAAAACCACTGAGCTACACCCCGCCCTGAAGGTCTTTGAAAGAAAGACCATTGTGCTGGGCTCTGGCGGGTTCAAGTCACAGCCCGGCAGAGCTGGCAGGTCCCAAGGGGAACAGAGCACAAAACTGGCACAGCCAGCAGCCAAGGACGCCTGTCCTGTCTGAAGTCGCCCTGCCAGGCTCTGGGACTGAGCCTAGAGCCACATCCCTCCAGCCCTTGCTCTGCTGCTCTAGTCCTGTGGCCTGACTAAGAATTTCCTTGTTTCACAGATACAGCCAGCCCCTGAAGGAGAAGATGCCAGATAAGTTATTTTCCTAAGAAGAGGAGAAAGAAAAAAATGAAAACATAAAAATAAATAAAAGTGACCTATTTCAACAGGTTCCCTGGCCCTGGGCCCGATGTGGGCTCAAAGTTGTGATGTCACTCTCACCCAAAGCAGGAACAGAGCTGAATGTCTCCCTGTCTCTGTCTGGGCCCACCCAATGTTCTGTCCTTACGGGCTGTGCTCCTGAGCCGTGTCCTGTGATCGGAAGGGAGGGGTGGAGGAGGATGAGCAGGCTACATCAGGCTATGGACCTGGTGGGGCTGAGGGATGGCTAGAACCGTCATCTCGGAGAAATAACCACCACCAGTACGGCTGGGTACCATCTCATGGGAACCTCTGGAGCTACAGGGGAAACTGAGATGACCACAGCCAAGGTTCGTCTAGTAACCGCCTCCAAATCAGACCTTCATTGTGTTTTGTTTTATAGAAGTAATTCTGACTTAATTAAAACAGCAAACAGAAGAGACCTGCAGTTAAAAAGGAAAATGCCAGGGAACCCTCTCACTGAGAGTGTCCCACCCACCGGCTTCTGCAGCTGTGGGCTGGGCAGAGCGGGGCTCGGGGTCAACTGACCTCTCACCTCAACCTGCTCAAGAGGTCATGTAACTCCCAGAGGAACCATCCTGTGGCCATCAGCCAGCGACAGGGATAATAACAGCCCTGGCCCACTGCTGACAGATGAGGCGGCGTTATGATGCTGCCACACTCCAGAGCAAGTGGGATGCCAGCCTCAGACCACACCTCAGCTGCACACACATCTGGGCTCATCCTCTTGCCTTCTCTGGTCCCATCCCTCTCTCCCTTATGGCTTCTTCCTCTCCATAAGCCACCTGCCCAAGGATCTTAGGCTTTAATAAACCAGAGAGACTCCACCGCCCTGTGCCGCCTGCACCAATGTAGTCCCTCTAGAGAGGTATAAGAGATGTCTTTGATTTCAGAAAACTTCCAGGTACACGCTTAATTACATTCATCTAAAAAAAAAAAAAAGGTGGGGGCTGTCATAGGTCACGTGTGATCTGCAGCTGGTGGCATGCATTTAGCTCACCCCAGATGGCTCACCATGTCTGCACACAGATCACCCACAGGGTGGGCTGGCTGAAACAGAAGAAGGCTTTTTGGAATACTCACATTCACAGTGCAAACTGGGCAAACTGATGTTGAGACTGACGTCAATTTTGCCTCCACTGTCCTTGTCTGGGTCATCGACGTAGAGCTCATTCACCCTGAGGGACAGACAAGTACAGAAGCCAGGACTGAGACAGAACATTGATCCTGCCCACTGCCCAGAGGGGATGGACAGCCAGGAGCCACCTCACTTGGTAGCCAGTGCTCAATGATCCAGATACCCATTGTGGGTACAACAGCATGCACAAGTCCAGGACCCAGGAGGTAGGGCTCCAGGTTCAAATCCACCCTCCAACACAGCTTTATCAGGAAGGAGAACAGTTACTCGGGAAGAAGGAGGGGTCCAGTAAGGACATCTGTCCAGATCTGAGTTCAGATTCTGGCTCCAGTACTTTCTACAATCTCCTCTATAAACCCATCTGCTGAATGGGAATAGCACTGCCCATTTCTAAAGAGGCAGCTGAACTGTAAGGTGAGAAACAGAGTCTTGCTATGGCTCAGGGCCTGGCACCAATGGGTACACAGTACCTACTGCCTGCTCTTTGGGAGCCCCCCCCCCATAAAGCTCCAGGGGTGAGGTCCGGGTCTCCCACAGGACCAGACGGCTGTACTGGATTCCAAGGGCTACTGTAATCAAGTGTCACAACGCTAACGGCTTAACCAAAGCTCACCACACACTTGCACAGCACTTCCCCTCTTCTTGCACCCTCACACAGGACCCCTGTGGTTTTGTCTGACCTGGCTGGCTACTCTAGTTGTTCCTGTCTCAAGATCCTTCATGTGACCACATCTGTCATGTTCGCTGTGGCATATAGGGTAGTACAACCATAGACTGCAGGGGTGAGCAATGAGATCATTACTCCATTGCCAGAGTAGGTGGCCCCCGCAGCCACACCACCTCGCTGATAGCGACAGTAGCCACACACATTTATTCAACAGTTTGGGGAGCATCTACTGCCTTTCAGGTTCCAGAAATGGTCTCTGCGTCCATCGCAGGCAGAACCAGACCTCGTCACCTCCCAGCTAAGTGCCACAGAGAAGCCTGCAGGTCTCTAAGATGATGAAAAGGCATGGTCTCAGCAGGGGGAGGGAGGCCCCCTTACCACAGCATGTGCCCAGGCCTCAAGTAGAGGAACTAGGTTGATAGAGGGACTGAAAGAGGGTCATGGCAGATGCGGTGTGAGCCCGGTGTGGTACTGCGACCCAGCTCAGGCAGCTGACTTGATACTGAGCACAGCTACACGGTCAAGCTTATGCCTCAGCAGGCTCGAGGTCTGGAGGACCCACCATGTACCAAAGAGACCAGATAGTAGGTAGCCACAGAAACCATGGATGCTGGGAGCAGGCAGGGCGTGCTGGACACACACGGGGATGGGCCAAGGGAGGCCTGTAAATGGATGGTTCCACTTCCTTCCTTCCTCACTAAGCCAGGGGTCTGTGAGCATATAGCAGAAGCAGTGAGGAGGGAGACAGGCTGAGTTTAGAGGTTAGCTACCCAGATAATTCCCCATGGGGAGGAGGAATCACATCTCTAGGCCTGGCCTCAGAGGCTGCTCAACTGAGCAGTGCCAGAGAAAGTGGGCTAGGCTATGCTAAACCACTCATGGATGGGGACCAGGGATGCTGGTCAATAGGCAGGAAGTTACAGATGACAGAAGTCTTGCTGTTCTACTGCACAGGCATGGTGACTACAGTAACAACACATTGCATTTTGTTGTTGTTGTTGTTGTTATCTGAGACAGTTTTTCTGTGTAGCCCTGGCTGCCATGGAAGCTCTATAGACCAGCCTGGTCTCGAACTCAGAAATCTACCTGCCTCTGGCCCTCTAGTGCTGGGATTAAAGGTATGCACCACCACCTCTTGGCAAGAGAAGATTTTTAAATGTTCTCTCACAAAAAGCATAAATGTTTAAGGTGATAGATATACTGACTAGATGAACTGATAATTTGGCAGTTTATCAAAATGTCACCTTGTACCCCATTTTGTCAATTAAAAATAAAATAAAATAGGGCTGAAGAGGTGGCTCTGTGGTTAACAGCACTTACAACTCCAGAGACCCAAGTTTGGTTTTCAGCAACCATGTTAGGCAGCTCACAATGCCTGTAACAGCAGCTCGAGGGAAACTACTGCCCTCTTCTGGCCTCTACAAGCACCTGCACTCACGTACACATACCCATATGCACGCGCAAGACACAAAGACACACAGACACACACACTTTAAAATGATAAAAATTATTTTTTATAAAAGCCATAAAACAAACATTTGAAATAACCCACATGTTTGATCCCTTGGGTCAGGTTGTACTAGAAGAGGACTCCCAGAAAGCCCTGTGAATGGCTGTCTTGTTAGGAAAGAACAGATCAGGCCCAGCAAGTGAATTTTGTTTTTACTAAGACTTCATCAAATGTGATACAGTCAGTGCTTAATCAACAAGAACTGTGGCTCAGGGACACAGCCACAGACACTGAACATCCAGCTCATTTTGCTAGGCAAAAGGGGAGAGGGGTACCCCCAGTCAAGGAATTCAAATATATGCATTCATGCTGTCCTATCTGCTCCTGTGCGAAGTCCTCGTTCCCATTTTAAAGCCAGGAAACCAGGGTTCAGAGGAGGCATGTTCCATCCCAAGAGCACACAGCAGAATGACTGGGCTGGAATTCCAGCTGAGGTCTGCCTCATGCCCAAGCCCCAAGCTTCCCAGGGCTACCTAGCTTCCTCTTCCTCAGTATCTAGCTAGGGTCAGGGACGGGGCACGGGATGTGGGGAGGGACTCAGAGGCTTATCCAGGCAGTACTCAGAGTACTGACAAGTATTATGCAGAATCAGTGGGCAGCGAGCAAACAGGCCATGTGAGGTGCAGTCAGAGGATCCATTTCAGCCAGATTTTTCTTCCCGACTCTTCAGCACCTGCTTCTACCATGGCCGTAATTCCAAAGGACTATTAGTCTAGTAAGGAAATTGCTGTGTGGTTAACTGAACAGCGCCCAAGGGCGAGGGCTTCCCTTCCCAGGGAGACTTCTCCATGAGCGCTCACCTTTCCCACCTGGTAAGACCTAGACTCTGTGCATTGCTGAGGGATTATGGGGTGAGGTCATTCCCTGGCAATCCTGGGAGGATGACCTCAGAAGAGTGAGGCAAATCCCAGGTGTGGCTCAGGTGAGCTCATTGCCCCTGGGGAGGCTTCTCCCAGACACGGATCCCTGTCTTCTAGCCAGAAGACCTGGAGCGGTCAGCTGCCAGGGCTGAAGGGCCACAGGGCACAGAGGGGCTGAGGTGCCTGAAGGCAGGATAAATGCATGGCCTGCGGCAATCTGGGCTGGTGGTTACGTAAGGCCAGAACTGGCTGTTCCCCCTGGCTGTAAGATGTATATGGTTCAGTCACCTGCACCGCCCACTGATGAGGTCAGCAAGCCTGCCTTCTGTGTCCAAGGCAAATGTTCCAGGCCGGCTAGTTTGCTGCCACCCCAGGTGCAGCCTCACCCACAGCCACCCGTGCAGGGCTGCCAAGGCGGACTGGCTCCACTGCTGGGGCTGAGCGGATTTAAAGGCCAACAGGCTGCCACCAATTAGCTCACCTCAAAGAAAAGAAACATTCTGTGGGTACACTATGGTTTAGGGACTCTTACTGGCCCGATACCCCATAATCAGCTCAGGACATGAGAAGGCCTGTGGGCTATCCTCCGACCTGTCACTTGGAAGCTGAGGTACCTGGGACAAGGCGCTTCATCTCTCCAAGCCTCAGTTTCCTCATCGGAATAACTGGAGAAGTCCCAGGTGAAGTTTAAAAGAAGGAAATGAATAGATGACAATAGAAGGCTGAAGAATGGTCGTGTGTGTGTGTGTGTGTGTGTGTGTGTGTGTGTGTGTGTGTGTGAAGGAACCTTCTAGATGGCAGAAATCTGTCATGGCTCAACTAAGATGAGGCTATGAGGGTGAGATTCACTGACCCCAGCTTTTGGACTTGGGCATCTGCTGTAAGTCACACACACTTCAGTAACAAGAAACCAGCGAGGGCAGGGGGTGGGAGAAGGGAAAGGAGGAGAAAGGAGATGAACAAGAATTCTCAACAGCTCTCAGGGCTACAGGAGGAAACGCTAAAGCTTCCGGCTGCCCAGGCCAGGAGAGAAAGACAGACAGACAGAGAGAGAGAGAGAGAGAGAGAGAGAGAGAGAGAGAGAGGGGCTAGATGATAGATTGATGATAGATAGATAGATAGATGGATGGATGGATGGATGGATGGATGGATGGATGGATGGATGGATAGATAGATAGATAGATAGATAGATAGATAGATAGATAGATAGATAGATAGATAGACAGGCAGATAGACAGACAGACAGGCAGATAGACAGACAGACAGATGACAGATAGAGAGCAGGCACGTGTCTCATTTTCTCTCCAGGGCTGACCACAGGCTCTGCTTGGCAGAGAGAACACAATGTTAAGGAGTGTTCAAGCTGCCAGGGTTTACCTCCTGGCTGACTGACCTTGGACAACAGGCTTTGTCTTCAACAGCCTCAGTTTCCCTAGAGATAAAATGGGGCTTTCACAACAGTTGACCCTCCATTTCTATAGGGTTTCTACCTTGGGTTCAACTAGTTGAAGATAAAAAAACAAAAAAAACTTTTTTTCTCAGAAACAGAAACTGAGTTTGTATGGGACACATGCGACTTCTTACCTTGTTCCTTAAATAATATGGTGCCACAACTATGTGCAGAGTACGTACTGTGGGATAACATTAGTGATTTGGAGGGGGATCTAGAGTGGATGGAGGAGGTGCACAGGGCACATGAGAATACCACACTCTCTATGCTCCCAGTAGCCCTCAATGATTCTGCTAAGGTGACCAATGAGAACAAGAGGAGCGCTGAGCATCATCTTACTACAGACTGGATGCTCAGTCTCTAGCCATTATCTTTATCATTAATACCAACATTTAATGAGCTGAAATAACAGGGACACTAACTGTCTCCATTGCAAAGTGTGTGGTGAAAGTCAAGTGCATGATGCATGTAAGAGGTGTAGCACAGCCTTGCCTAGTGTATTCTGCCCCACAAAAAGCCGGGAGATGCCCCAGCTCTGAGCCCCAGGCCATGCTGGCGACAACAATGAACTTTTGCATGTGGCATCTCCTGTAACACAGCAAGCCAGTGCTGGACAGGATTACTGTGTCTTTAGTGAGGAGCACAAATGACTGGCTGAGATCACACAGCCTGCAGGAGGCAGAGAAAGATGCTACCAAGGGACTCAGTGTCCTGCGTTTTCCACTGTGTTACACTGTCGGGAGAGGATGGGGGACCTGGAAGGCAGGGCATCCCCCAGGGAGACCGATGATGCAGGTGTCACTGCTTTTCTGATAACCTTCAGGTGGGCCACTCTAGGGTCCTCAGGGCCTATGGGGTATGGAGGCCCTTAGGTCCAAAGGCTTTCTGCTCTACAAGCCTTCCTCCATTACCCCCTCCTGTCACACTGGAGCAAGCAATAGAGTCTGAACCCCCCACCAGAATGAGGACTCCTGAGCGAGCTCTGTGGAATGAATACACACTTGGGGGGTGCACAGGAGTCCCAGGAAGTGGAAGGGTGTGTGCTGGTGGAGAAGTGGGGGCACATTCCAGGTGGGGGACGCCAGCTAGTGTAGCACTGCTTGGCCTGAGTGCGCAGGGAGGAGGTGGGTGAGAACTGGCCTTGTAGGGAGAGAGGATGAAAGGGTTGGGAAGTATTGGTGGGGGGATGTAGGTGGAATGCAGGCAAAGGCCTTGAGATTCTGGGCTGAGGCGTGAGTCTGATGACAGCTAGGGAAAACAATTTTATTTGCTTTTAGAAGAGCACTTGAATAGTTCGGATTCCTGCCCAAGGTTGCTGGCCTCCATGCTTAACAATCTGATCAAATGGAAACTTCCATGCAGCGGGGAGGCCGCAGGAAGAGGTAGGGTGAGAGCGGGAGGGGAAGTGGGGTAGGTTGACCAGGAAGCCTCAGCACCCTGGCTTTTAAATCTGATTTCTGAAATCCAATGACCACCTACCAGATGGATGCCCTCCACAGCCAGCTGCCCAGCAGCCCCCCCCCCCCCGGCTCCTCCCCCTGCTCCTCCCCCTGGCTCCTCCCCCTGGCAATCATCCTACTCCTTACCGGGGTCTGTTGCTCATATTCTCTCTTCCCCAAACCCACCTTTCAGGGGTGAACTTTCTGAACCACGAATCTGTTGCTCTGTACCCAGGAGCCTTCAAGCCTCCCATTGCTAAGGATGAGGCCTGGGTGCTCTACAATGTGACATCTTAGTCACCAGTCTTGGCCATGATCGAGGTTCAGTTCAGGGGTGCTGGGCAGGAGAGAGCCCACTACTCTTCCCTTGGCTAAGCACCTAGTCTCCCCAATTTTGGCCCAATAGAGAGACAAGTTAGGACTCAGCTCAAGGTAACCTCTAAGCTGCTCCTTCCTAAGTGGCCTCTTCCAGCTTGCTACCTAAATCTACAGGGAGCCCTGAGTCTTCCAGTCAATAGGTTTTAAGTTTATTTTGTTATCATTATTGTGTATGATGTATGTGTGTGTGTGTGGGGGGGGTGCACACATGGAGGTAAGGGGACAAGTTTGTTGAGTGGAGTAGGTTCCAGGGACCCAACTCGGATTGTGGGGTTTGCATAGACACGCGCTTCTGCCCACTGAGGCACCTGGCCCTAACTGTCGATAATTTTGACCAACGTGCCGTGGCTTTCATGTAGCTGAGGCTCTAAAACATGCCCTACAGAGATGGGTGGGATGATGGGATGGGGTGCCTGGGCTGTGGATGTCCACAAGGCTTAGGCTCTGCTTCCCTTCCCCTCCCTTTTTACTAATCTTATGGGTTTTTAGCCTTTTGGTGCCTCAGTTTTCACCCACCCGAAACTTCAAGGGGTCTTGTGACAAATTTTGAGGCAATCACTGTAAGATGTTAACCTGGCCATATCAGCCTAGCATTTGGCCACTTACAATACCTAGAAAGCACCATAAGGTATATTATATTTTAGTAAAACCAATTAGTGGAGGGTCTGAGGTACATTTTATTATCATAAACCCTAATAAGTGAATAACTATTAAAGTCTGTAGGAACTTGGCAGTTGAGGGCTGGAACATTCCACAGCCACTTTCTGAGGGGTGGGTATACACCTGGATACACTGAACTTCTGAATATCTCATGGGGCACCTTTTTTCATTATGGTCAACAGCCTGGCCAGAGCCCAGGCTGGAAGCCAAGCACCCACATAAACCTGCCTCCCTCTCACTCAGCAGGGCCAGAATGAGCACTTCACGCCACCGACAGTCACAGGCCAGGGCTGCGGTGTCGACCTAGCCAGCGGTGACCTCATTTCCTTGAGTTATATACATTCTCATGGCAAGAGGGATCCGCTGACCCACTGTTGTCACAAGGCCATCAGACAGGACCAGTGGCCTCCCCCAAAGAGGATGAATTCACCTTTAGTTTTTCCCCAACCTGGGGAAAACTTCCTGGGCCAGGCTGCTTCTATAAAGAAAAGAACCCATTGTGGGCAACACAACCATTTCTAGGCTGCTGTGTTAAGTCTTAGGCCCGCCTGGACCCCTGACAAGTTGGTACAGTGAGGAAGGACAGGGAGGGAGGGACTCTAAGTTCCCCACTCACAGCAGGGAGCAGTCAGTGGGCCAGGTTCAAGCCTTCTCAGCCCTCTTCCTTCCTCCTGGGACCACAGCATCCAGGAGGCAGGAAGAGGAAGTCCCTGAGCAGGGGAGCGGATGGCATGGGGAACACACTGTGCTCTGCCACTGACAGCCCTGCCCTAGGTAAACAGTAGGCAGAGTCCACTGTCAGGACTTGTTTGAGTGGCCCAGCCTGCTACACAGCTTTCACAGGCCCAAGCACTCACATCAAAAGTCACTTGTATGTGGCCATACCTCAGCGCCACAGGCACGCCCTCCCTAGGCTGAGCTGACTAAAGCTTCCTCAAGTGTTACAAGGTACACAAACACACCAAGAGACAGGGTCTGACTGGTGGCAATGTTTGTAGGCCTTGGTCATACTGCTCAGTCTTCAGAGAACACCAGGTCCATCCATCCATCCATCTATCCCACCACCACCACACCCCTCACTAACCACTGTTTGCTCAGAGCACCTGGTGTGTTAGGGTCCCAGAAACAAACTTCCAAGGACACTGGGGGAACACCTGCAGTCTGGCTGGTCGGCTTGTGTCCACAGCCAGCAGGCATGGATGACAGCAGGAAGAGAGCAGCTTTAGGAACCCACAGTCAAAGTGGAAATGCTGTTAACTAAGTAATTACAGGGCTATGGCTCAACCTACCCTGGCCTCTGTGCCCCTGCTTGCTGACTTCCCTGTAGCCATGCCAGCCTCTCCATTCGTCACAGACCCCAAGCCACTCCTGCCTCAGGGCCTTAGCACTTGCTGCTGCTTCTGTCCACAACACCGAAGCCACCTGCCCGCACACCTGCACCTTGCTGCTGTCACAGGTGCACAGCTGTTGCCTACCTACTTGGAACACACCAGCCTGTAGAGTGGCCTCCACCCCAGAGGAGAGCAGAGCCTGCAGAGCACACTGTCGGTGTGTTTCGGGGTCTCATTCTCCCCCATGCTCTCACCTCTAGCTCATGACAGAGTAATCCCTGGGACACACAGTAACCCAAATACACACAAAGAAGATGCTTCCCATGGTCACAGTCACCTGTCAGGGGCTGTGCGAAACAAACCCCTCCACTGACCTCTATATGGCCCGCTGTCATGGAAAGCACCCAAAGCTTTTCCAGAGCTGGAAGGGAAGTTTGAATTTGATCTACTCTTACACATTTGACACAGAGAGGTTCAGTAACTTTTCCAGGGTCACACGGCAAAGCAGTATCCTGATCCTGTGTCTCCTAATGCTTTATCTGGTGTTCTCTCCACAGATCCAAGAAGCTCCCCAGGTTAAAAACAGGGTCAGAGTAACAGGGAGGCAGATGTTCCCACACAAATGGCAGGTGGGAAGCTACACCTAAATGTGAGCTAAGAGGAGTTGGGGCCAGCTTCTCAGGGCTGGGAAGCCATCTCACTTCTTCCACTGTGGGCAAGTACCTCTACATCTCATAGCCTCAGTTTCTCTCATAAAATGGGAGCTTTTGGTAACAAAGATAGTAACAGCCAGCCGAAGCCATGACGCCTGTCTTTAGCTTCCAATTGTCTTGTAGATGAGAAGAAAGCAAAGGAAAGCAAGACATTCCATGAGTAGAAGAAGAAAATTCCAAGGCTGGGCAGGAGAAGGGGGTGCCAGAGCCCAGTCCCATGACAATTCCACAAATTGTAAACACAGAGACAAAAGGGCTTTGAAGCCTGAGGCCAGGGCCCAAGGCAGGAGGGTTACCAGGCTGTGGGGGACAACTAATCCTGGAATCAGGGATGGACGACTGTGGTGTTAGCTGCCAGGAAACCCATGCTGACTCCTCCTGAGCGTGGGCCTGAGAAACCAGAGGGGCACCTCTCCCTCCGAGAGGAAGCTGCCTGGGCCCCTGAGCACTTCCAGCTATAACATCAAAGGACTCACGGACAACTCACTGGCCAAACTTGGGGCCACTGACTCTGTGTGTGTGTGCGTGTGTGTGTGTGTGTGTGTGTGTGTGTGTGTGTGTGTGTGTGTGTGTGTGTGTGTGACTTCTCAGTCCGTGGACCTGGGAATCCCAGGCCCAAAGGAAGGCGAAGGGCTCTGACAAAGGGAGACTCAATTTTACGCTAAGTTCAAAGCCTTTTTATGATGTCACATATTTGGAAACAGAAGCAAGCCAGTTGCAAGGCTTCTGTCTCTTCCCCAAACTCCTCCCTCTCCTCATCTCGACCCTAGAAAGCCAGCTGCCCCAGGGAAAAATGACTTACACTTCTGTCGTGATGAATCCGGTGAGTTCTGACAGGAAGAGGAAGAGGATGAAGAGGCAGCAGCAGACGGAGACTGTGGGAAACAGAGTCAGCGTTAGGGGTGCAGGATGCTCCAGACAGGAGGCCAGCCCTCCCTGCCCTTCCCTCACCCCAGAGGAAAGCTGCTTGGAGGCCCCAGCATACACACAGGGTGAGGTGACTTCCCAGGGACTGCTAAAGCCCCTTCTTACTCATGACCTCAGTGTCCCCCCTTTTTACTCATGACCTCAGTGTCCCCCCTTCTTACTCATGACCTCAGTGTCCCCCCTTTTTACTCATGGCCTCAGTGTGATTCCTCAGAGAGTCTCCATTGGCCTGACCCGTGGTCAGGGTGGACGTCTTCACACAGGCAAAGGCCCTGTTCGACTCCTCAAGATCCCTTTGATGCAGAGGTTGGCCTGGAAGAGGGCTGTTTGCTGGTGCTTAACAAGGTGCTCTGTCTGGCTTGAGTGGCATGCACATTACAATCCCGAGTCCACAATGAATAGCTGGGAGATACCAAGTGGCCATCTAGATTTCCGGCCGTGAAATACATGGCCCATGTCCCACACTGGGCCTGAGACCAGAGCTCTCTCTCTCTCTCTCTCTCTCACATCAGTGAACCAAAGACCGAGGCACAGCCTACCACTGGTCTGTCCCTCTGGGATTTTTCAACATCACAACAGGGTGAGAGCAGAATCACTCAGCAGAAGCCATATGGCGGTTTGGGCTTGCTTCCCAGGTTAGTGATATGCACAGCCCTGTCCCGATGTTGGCCAATGGCAGTGGGTCATGGCTCGTGGTCAACCTCCGGTCACCAGAGGGACAGCTAGCACACTACAGAAGCTGCCAGGCTGAGCTGAATTGTGCCACAGACTGGAACTGACCCTTTCTATTTATGCTATTTTGAACTTACAGCAGGACTGCTGGGACACAAGCCTGTATGCCACAGTAGAGAAGCATCTCTATCCATGTCCATCTGTCAGTCTGCTATCTACCTAGCTTCCTATCTGTCTTCAGGAAGGACAAGCATTTACTGAGCACTTACTACATACCCATGGTGATGCATTAACATACCACCCACCAGGACACCATGGCACCAGATTGATGGGGGCTCTGGTGTAAAAATGCAGGCTGAGTGAGAAGGGACTGGGGATCCCCCCATCCTCTATGGTCAAGGCACCTAGAAAGGCTCTTGAGAACCTGGGCTGCGAGCAACAGAAAGAACATCCCCAAACTGCCTGATGAGTCTGCAGCCACAGAGATGGGAATATTCATAACCTCGGCTCTATTTGAAGAAGCTGTACAGACATGGTATTTAAAGGCTTCCCTTCGGGACAAAATAGAGACCATGTGCATGTTATAAACAAGAAAAGGTTCAACTGGGTACATAAGCACATGAAAGTATTAATATACACAAACATCACATATTAATAAATTACATATATTATACATATTATATAGTATACACACACACACACACACACACACACACACACACACACACACACACACACACACACACAAATAAGCATATGTTGGTAGGCCTGATAGCCCACATCTACAAGCCCAGCATTCAGGAGCACAAGAACTCAGGTGAAAAGGACTGCCCAAATTTCAAGGCTAGCTTAGACTTCACAGCAAACTCCAGGCTAGCCAGGACACTCTCTCCCAAACAAAACAAAACAGTATGTATATATACACATACACATACTTTGAGGCCCTGTCCATCTCACCAAGAGCGGTATGACAGACACTCCCTTTCAGCCATGCTTCACGCACTCAGCAACCTGTAAACAGTCCCAGCTCAGACACTGGCCTTGTTTTGTCCTGTTTATGGCATGGAGATAAGCTCAAATATCCTTTCCAGCTGTGGAATAAACCTCCTGGAGTGGCTCAGCCACCGACCCAGGTCCTGGCTCCTGGTCTCTCTGCCCTACAGTGGTGGTTACTACCTCTTGGGGACGAATCTGCCACCTGGCAAAGCATCTTGCAGCTGGACCCTTGTGCCTTTCTGCCCAGTGCCACCCAGAACCCACATTTTGTCCTCATTTTGTCCACACCAGCCCCACTGGGTGCTGCAGTATATAACACAGAAGGTTTTCTGAAGGTCATTGCTGACTTTAGGGTGAATGTTGATCTTCTAGCTCCCTTCCCTGCAGACACACCTCCAAGTCCTAACTGCCCACATTGTGGTGGGAGGAAGGAGAGGTTGGGGAGGCCTTTCTCTGAGACCTGTGCGCTTACTCAAGGCTTGTCCCAAAGCCTGGTTAACCCAGCAGGTAGACAGGATAACTCAGCTGGGTCCAAGGGCCCTGCCCCACAAGTACCTTCCTGTGGAAGTGCACCTGACGCCTGTCTCAGACTGGGGAACCAGAGGTGAGGTCTTGGTGCCACTGCATCTCCAGGGTCTAACACAGTGTGTGCTCAGAGCAGGCACAGTGAGAAACCAGGAAGGCAGGTAGGAAGTATTCCAACCAAGGCCTCCAGATCTCAAAGGCTAGATGAGGGCTTTCAAGCCATGTTTGGGCAAGGCTTGGTTGGAGGCTCTCTGACTCCAGACTTCGAAAACTGACTCAGGCCCTGGGCAGTTGGAATGCAACTCCAGATGCTTGCTAGTAGTAAGCCGGGTGCTGCCAAGTTGAAGGGGGCAAGACCTGAGACCTTACAGTCTGCGAGAAAGTCAAGGAGTCCGTCCAAGGTCACATAGCCGGGTTAAGGGGGGGGGAGGCAAAATCCAAAGGCTGACGTTCAAGCCCCAGAATTTCGCTGTCTCCTTCAGCTATTAATAGCAGTCATCCCACAGCGTATGCAATGGCGCATGCCTGAGTTGGCCCGCCTGGCTCGGCGGTAGGAGCCTCAAGGACTAAGACCGAAGCCATTCATCAGCGCTGTCCCGGCACTTGGCGCGGGGCCTGGCCCTAGGTCCAGCTTAATAAATATTTGTGCACTAAATGGTAGCTAAGGGCTGGCTTCCCACGTCTCAAACCTTCTCCTCGTTGGATGAAAGGCTCAGCAGACCACGTTCCTGAGGGTTGCCAGGCAGAACTTTCTAAACAGCTGAAAATGTACGCCCCCTTGGCTCAGTGCTCCTTCCCCCACCCCCCCCCCCCCCCCCCCCCCCCCCCCCGAGAGCCACCTCACAGTAATGGCCACAGAAGATTCGAAGACATGCAAGGACATCTGTATGACAGTGGGCTGTAATCAGGCTGGCTGCCCCCAGTGACAGAGGCCAGCCAGGCAGTGACACAGAAGGTGGCTGGAGAGAAGGCAGAAGCTATCGATGGAGGTGGGAAAGGTGTGTCCAGCGGTCAGTAACCGAGACGGGGAGAGGGGGCGCGTGGCACAGCTGGCCCCAGTGTGCAGGACAGCGGTGCAAGTGCATCCTGGGCTTTTAAGAGGGCACATACCTGATTGCTCAACAGGTGGGATAAGTCAAGACTGGAGAAATCTCCAGGGAGGCTGGGCTGCTGTGGGGTGGCAGGAGCCCCGTTTCTCACAGTCTAAGTCTTTTTCCTAGTGGGGGGAAGGAAGCACCGAGCTACTTGGCTTCTTGGGTCCCATACTCAATGTTAGTTGTGGGCTACCAGGAGTCACTCACGCACTGAGTGAGGGCTCACGTGCCCCACCCACTTGCCCATGGACACACAGATGTTAAACAGGAGGACGACGTCGGCTCTGCCTGACAGGAAGGCCTCTGGGCACCCAGGCAGTGCTCTCTTTTCCACCGCTGGAGAAGGTGCACGCTGCTTTAAGAAACCCAGCCAGCTGGAGTTGTGGGGATCTCCAAGGCCACCAATCTACCTGAGAGTGGACTCCAGGCTGATCACCTGGCCTCTGTTGTGAGATTCTCTGTCCCATACCAAGCATTTGGGGAGGCTGGTCACTCAAGACCTAATCTTGACTGTCCCTTCTGCAAACAGTGACATTCTGGATGAGTCACTTCCCCTTTCTGAGCATCGGAGACATGAGGCCAAAGTGTTCCCACTTACTCAACGGTGACTTTGGTTTGTTCTGAGTACTGTTTTTTGGGGGACATTTTCTGTTGTGGAACAGTAATGGACACAAAGGCAGGACAGTGCCCACATAGCTTCTCCTGGACGCCCCTGTTCACACCTAAGAAAACCATAGCACTTTGTCGTCATCTTGGAGGAATTCACGCTGTTGCCGTGTTTTCCTGTGGCTCTGCCACAGCCTTTACTCAGGTTTCACCGGATTTCCCAGGAATGCTGTTTCTGCTCCAGGAACAGATCCTAGATCCTCCCATGCATTTACTCCTCCTGAGTCCTTCCATAATCTGTGGGCCCGTCCCTCTTCCCTCAGCTTCTCAAGGCCTTGACCCTCTGGCAGGGTATTGCTTAGGTATCTGGCAGAAGGCCTCCAGTCTGGGACTGGGATGCTTTGTCACATCCAGCAGGGTTGTAGCTTAATGGGGAAGGCCCTCAGCGGCAAGGTGCCTCCGCCCGTCCCTCAGGCATCCATATGTGACCGACCACGGTGATGCCAAACTCCCTCAATGGCTGAGCCATCCTCTCTAGGCTTCTCTACAGGAACGTTACTATTTTACATGTCTCTTCTCTTCTCTCTGGCAGCGAGTTGCTACATCCAACCCACACTTGAGGAGGAGAGGAGTATTCACAGGGGTTACCAGAATTCCTGAGGGAGTTTGTCTCCTCTCCCCGATTCCTTTACGACAGGCTCAAAGGCCTGTCCTCTAATTCCTCGGGTTCCAAACCAACAGTCATTATTATTGTCTTAGGCTCCAGTTGTGGACTTTGGGTCCCCTGTCCTGCTCACACACTGCGAGTGAGGCTCAGGTTATACCTTCCCTGCCTGGTGCTGCAAACCACCATCTGTCTGTGACGCCCTGGTTCCTTTGATTGAACCAAGTCAGTGGGTTTGGGAATTCTTTTAGTGACTAAAATCCTTAACAATTCAACTAATTTCAAAGGCAGGAAGGTAAAAGCAAGCCTCCCGCCCACCTCTGATCTGCTTGCTTGGATTTTTTTCCTTCAGATCTTACTGTTTTAATTTTTATTTAATTTCTGCTATTGTTTGATGATGGTGATTGTGTGTGTGTGTCTCTCTCCTTTCACCAGGGGTTCTGGGGTTCTAACTCAGGCCATGAGGCTTGCACAGCACATACATTCACCTGCTGAACCACCGTCGTATTGGCCCTGTATTTAGACTTTAGGATAGCTGGTATTTTGAGAACGGGGACCAAGTCTGACCAGGCGATTCATGTTTCAAGTGTGCTTCTCTATACAGCCTGGAGGCAGCAGCACATCTTCAGTGCCACCTATCACACAGGGTCAGGGGTGGACTTCCCACTTACAATGCATGTCAGGGCTCAGAGTTCTGGATTTAGGCACATAGTTTTTGGATCTAGGAGACATAGCTTAGTGGTAGAGTGTCAATCCCTAACCCTGTAAGACGGAAAGAAAATAAAAAACTTTGGATTTTGAGATCAGGGATCCTGAACCTGCATTGGTATTTTTCTGCATCCTTCTAGACACAGCCAATGGTTCTACCTTGCGGGGTCATATCGCAAGGGTAGAGATGCTGTGTAGAAAGAGGTGAAAGGCCTGTGGGCTGCTAGGCACGTCTTCTCTCCCACCTGACTTTCCTTCTTTCTTCCAGAGTTCTGCACAGAGCAGAGGATGGCTTTCTGGGGAGCAGGTAGAGGGCTGGGGTAATGGTGGGAAGGGCAGTTACTCACTAATGGCACCAGTATACGTCGGCTGCGTGAGGTCCTTGGGTACCTTCCTGTAGATGTCAAACCTGGAGAGAAGAAGCAGAGAAATTAGACAGGTATAGAATGCAGGCCTAGAGGCAGAGGCTGGGGATGCCACCCGGGCCAGCAACCACAGCTCTTACCAAAGAGTCCCTTTCAACATCCTCTGAGAGGCCTTGTGAGAGTCCTTCTGTCTTAGTTAGGGATTCTAATGCAGTGATGAAACACCATGGGACCAAAAAGCAAGTCAGGGAGGAAGGGGTTTACTCTGCTTACACTTTCACATTCCTGTTCACCATCAAAGGAAGTCAGGGCAGGAACTCAAGCAGGGCAGGAATCTGGAGGCAGGAGCTGATGCAGAGGCCATGGAGGGGTGCTGCTCACTGGCTTGCTCCTCACGGCTTGCTCAGCCTGCTTTCTTATAGAACCCAGGATCAGCAGCTCAGGGATGGAACTACCCACAGCGGGCTGGGCCCTCCCCCACAATCACTAAGAAAATGCTCTAGGGGTTTGCCCATAGCCCAGTCTTATGGAGGCATTTTCTCAACTGAGGTCCCCTCCTCTCGGATGACTACAGTTTGTGTCAAGTTGACATAAATCTCATCAGCAAGCCAGCACACCTACATATCCCTCTACTGCATCCCATCACCATATCTCCTTGACACAACCCAAGCTCATCACCCACGATTTTACCCACTCATATGTTTATACTTGGGCACATTTCTCGGTGGGTCTTGCCTCTCTCAGAATGTAACTTAGTCCTTGTTAGGTCTCGTCCCCTAGCATGGTCTGGCTGGTAGTAAGTACTGGTGCAGTGACTGTACACTGAACCAAACATCTGGGTCCAGGGGACCAGTAGGAGGCTCTGTGTCTCCTGAGTTATGCCACACACTGCCTTCTTGTTCTGCGCCTCCTTTTCATGATTCCTTCTCCCTTTTCCTGTCTCCACCGTCCCGTCCTGGTCCACTGTTCCCGTCTCCCCTGCCAGCTCCTGCCTACAGGACGGGGCTGGGTCAACTGGAGGGAAGGCAGGCTCCAGCTCCAGCTGTCCTTCCAAGGCTCTTCTTTCCCCAGCACATTATCAGCGCTGGTGAAGTCCTGGGATATGATGGGGGAACGTGGAGCCTTGGACTCCAGTGGACTCAGATTTAACTCTCACCGTCTGGTCCATGGTCGATTAAGAGTTAGGACTCTGGTCGGATTTCTCCGGCTTAAATCTTGATACATGCTTTCCTGCCATGTGACTTTACTTCTCGGGGTCTCAGTTTCCTAATCTACAAACGCAGGGCTACCCCTGCTAATATATTTATACTTGTGCACATGCCTGGAAGGCAACTGAGGAGTGAGAAAACCCTCTGTGAGCGATCTGGTGCAACGTCCGTCCCCACGGGGTTTGCACGCACTTGGCTTCCCTTCCCTTGGCCATGCGCAGCAGGCAGCCGGTCTCCTCTTAACAGCTCTGTCAACAGGTCCCTCCATCCACACACCCTCAAGCTAGAAGGCGGAGGTGAGGCTGGTGCCCGACTCTGCTAATTACACCCGAGCCACCCGTCTGCTAAGGCCTCAAGGGAGAAACGCTCCTGTGGCATGCCAGGCTAAAGGCTGCCACTTTCTCTGCTTTCTGCTCTGTGCTCAGCTGTTAGGGCTGGGGTGTGACCTAGTGGCCAGGAGGTCTACACAATTCAACCACCTCACTTCCCAGCGACACACCTTTAACCTGGAGAGGTCTATGAGAGGTGAAAACATGTTCAACCATCACCCCTGCACTGTATCTTGGGCATGCCACTTATTTGGACAGTACCTACCTTGCTAGGTCAGTGATTAGATGCATATAAAGCTCTAAGAACCAGGCCTGGCATTCTGCAGGTGCTTGGTTTGCTGGCCCTTTTATTAACCCTCACTTAACCCATCAGGTCACTACAACACACTGAGCCCTCTTAATCAGTCTGGCCTGTAAACATACAGCTCGCCATCAAAGACAAAGAAAACTGGGCAAAAAAAATTCATAGATCAGCAGTTCTCAACCTGGGGGTCGCATATCAGATATCTACATTACAATTCCATAACAACAGCAAAATTAGTTATGAAGTAGCAACGAAATAATTTTATAGTTGGGGGTCACCGCAACATGAGGGACTATATTAAAGGGTCACCGCATTAAGAAGGTTGAGAACTACTGTCACAGTGTTCAGGTGGGTCAGCTAGAGACACCATGGCATGAAGAAGGGTCCTCAGGTCCCAGTGAGGCTTCCTACAGGAGGTGATGTCTGCACAGAGGAGAAGACTAGGGAGGGAAAGTCTTCCCAGGGTGTGAGGATGGCAAAGACCAAGAGCAGGACACAAGCGGGGTTACTGGGATGCTATGTTTTATTTTGGGGAGCAGTGGAGTGGGAGTGAGAAGAGGCAGAGAGGTCCCGTGGAGTTCCCACTGTGAGGCCACGGCCAAGGCCTCCCAGGTGGGGTGCTGCTGTTGTGGGGTTGTCAGAGGACCGGACATTGGGAGGCAGAAGAGGGAGGGAAAAGCCCGGCTGGCTGCAGGTGGTTTTTGATTCACAATGGGTCCCATACATCTTTCAACCTGCTGATGGTGTGAGGGTGACATGCACTTGTCAAGGACCCTTTACTTCTGTTCATTCCCTCGGCTGGTCGTCTCCCTCAGTGCTGAGCAGTGCACAAGCAACCCACAGAGCTTCAGTCCCAGCTCGTATGCTTATGAAAGTGAGTGAGGGAGCACCCAGGTGGAGGTGTGGGCTTAGGATGGCCAGATGTTCTGATTGTTCAAGAGAGGACTCTGAATTTGGAATTGTACATGGAATGCCCCAATTCTCAAACGTTGAACAACACAATGCAAGACAAAGAGGCATTTACAAACAGGGCCCAGAAGCCCAGCATGTGACCCTGTGGGCTGAAGAGCTGAAGGACATGGGCAGCCTATCTTTACAAGGCCACTTGGGCAGAGTGGAAGCCATGTGCGACTCCTGAGATGGCCAGACAGACAAGCTGCAGGCAGGGAGATGGTCTTGGGAATCCCTGTCCATTGCTGGGCCTCGGTTTCCCTGGATGGAAAGCGAGGAGGTGCACAGATCTGAAGGCAGAAACGGCAGCAGTGTCCCGTGGGAGCTACAACCCAGTCTATCTCTGGCCATGTCACCATCAGGGCCCCATGGGCAAAGACAGCCTCATGATTTGGAAATAAGTGAACTACTGTTTCAAAACCAGGAGTCTGTAGTTAGCTAGAGGCTGCTTTAACACAAGTGAGAAGTGGTGGAGGATGAGGCATCATAGTCCACTCTGGGCAAGAAGGGGAGTGAGGGAGATGGAGGGAGACTGATGCGGGGGTGGGGGAGCAGCATTAGGGAAGGGAAGTGAAAGTGCGGATGGCTGACTGGAAATGGAGGCAAGAGTGTGAACTCATCATCTCAGTATGCACAGCCACATGGAAAAGGGCACATGTATGCATACACTCCACATACACACATGAACATTCCCTAGCTCTTCACAGGGCCCAAGGTCATGGCCAACAACCAAAACCCTTCATACAAAGGAATCGGAAATGGCTGGTTTTTGAGCCAGGGGCACCTTCTTAGGTCAGTATTGTGGACCACTGTCCTCTGGGTAGAACGTGGCCATGGCTGTCTTGAAATCACATCAGTTGTGATGACCTGAGGGGATCCTCAATACATTGATCCCATTCCTGTTCTATCATGGAGGGAAGGGTGGGCTCCCCAGGCAGCGGGACATGAGCTGCTCCAAGGGAAGGAGTTCCAGGGGCATGCAGCAGTCACCCGAGGCCCACCTCAGGATACACAAGTGATTAAGGGATGCTGGGAAAGGGGAAGCCACAGGTAAGTTTAGGTAACCCAATTAAACCTACTGGTTCACCAAGCCAAGCTTGGAGGGGCTGTTTATTTGGTCTGTTGTCACTGCCCTATTTGGGGTGAATAGATGTTTGTGTCTCCCAGGAAAAGTTAATGTGATAGTAAGAACTGACTCTGGCCGGGCGGTGGTGGCGCACGCCTTTAATCCCAGCACTCGGGAGGCAGAGCCAGGCGGATCTCTGTGAGTTCGAGGCCAGCCTGGACTACCAAGTGAGTTCCAGGAAAGGCGCAAAGCTACACAGAGAAACCCTGTCTCGAAAAACCAAAAAAAAAAAAAAAAAAAAAAAAAAAAAAAAAAAAGAACTGACTCTGACAAGTTGGGGGGAGGTGGTAAAGAGACACAAGGTGTAAAGAGGCCCCTACTGGCCAGAGGTGAGTCCATGCCAGGCTCAAAATGACAGTCAGTGATCAACCTTGGGGAAGCAGGAAGTCAAGAATCCATGTGGATTCAGAGGAAGAAATGAACAAGGTGGAAGTAGGAGAGGAATGGGATATTGGTGTTGCTTCAAAGCACCTCCCCAGAAAACACCAGTTAGAAAGTGGGGGGAAGCAGCATTAACAGGGAGGAACCTGGCAGACATCATGCCAAGCAAAGACCATTAGCACCATCGGGAGGGAGACACCAAGTCCTGATACGCTCTGCACAGCATCACCTCAGTATCTCAGTATCTTATCCACCATGGACATTTCAAACTGATCCTGAGGAAGCTGCTGCAGAGTGACAGCTGCCCTGCATGTGTCACAAGTGGGAAGTTATAAAGGACAAGTAACATGGGGACTGTGACAAAGGAGAGGAGACATATGGGGCAAAATGACTGAACTTAGTGTGGGGTCACATTAGATTTCTTTTTCTGGGGAAAAAAAAAAGGTCAGTGGACTAAGCTCTGCAGTGTTGCTGGTGGCACCATATAATAATGTGATTGATCTTGTTTTGATAGTGGCATTATGGTTACGTCTGACAGCTTTCCCTGGCTGTGACAAAGTACCAGAGAAAATCAAGTTCAGGGAAGAAAGGCTGGTTTTGGTTCAGGGCTCCAGAGGTCTTTGTCTGGCTGGTTCTGCCACTTAAGCCCTAGGGTGCAGTAGAATACCTCAATGTTGGAAGCAGGGCAGCAGATGCTTGCCTCATGGTCATCGGATAGATAGATAGATAGATAGATAGATAGATA